TTAACAAGGACTTTCAATCCCTCCTTGCCCATTCTAGTATTGGTCACAAACTCGGGCTCCATAGCCCATTGCATTTGGTCATTCACAACAAAAGGAAGAGGTTGTGTCATGTAGCATCCTCGACAACACGTTTAAGTTGTGAAACATGAAAAACGGGGTGTACAGAGGTGGAATTAGGAAGGTCAAACTTATAAGCAACCTTACCAACTCGCCGCAAAACCCGGTAAGGGCCAAAGAAGAGAGGGGAAAGCTTCTCATTCATCTTTCGAGAAAGAGATTATAGCTTATAGGGCCTAAATTTCAAGTAAAATTGATCACCAACCCGAAATTCAACCTCACGATGATGCTGATCGGCTCTTTGTTTCATAGAATTTTAAATAAGTAACAACCGATCTCGTAAATCAATTATCATGACATCCCTTTTAAGCAACATATCTTCCAAACTCGAATTGAGAGTGGGAGCAGCAACATCATACCTAAGCAAGGGGGAGGGTCTACCATAGACTAGCTTGAAATGAGTGGAATTAGTCGAAGTGTGATAGGAGGAATTAAATCAATACTCGCCCATGTCGATCAATTATAGCACATTTTTGGTTGAGAACTCACAAAGCAATGGAGATAAGCCTCTAAGCATCTATTAACTACTTCACTTTGGTTGTCGCTTTGTGGGTGGTAAGCAGTGCTTTGATTCAATGAGGTACGTTGCAAACGAAACAACTCCATCCAAAAATGACTCGGAAAAATCTTATCTCGGTTCGACTCAAAAGATTGAGGAAATCTATGTAGCTTAACCACATTGGAGAAGAACTCTTCACCTTTTGAGCCATGTAAGGATGCTTAAAAGGGATCAAATGATCGTATTTACTCAATCAATTCATTACCACTAAAATAGAATCAAACTCATGGGATTTTGGCAAGCCTTCCATAAAGTCCATCGAAATGTCCTCCTAAATAGCATACGACACTCGGAAGGGGTTGGAGCAATCGGCTAGAGACAATGTCTCATATTTATTTTGTTGGTATACTTGACAAGAGATAACAAAATTTTTTACATCCGTTTATAGACCATCCCAATATAATTCACGGGAAACCAACTTGTAAGTTTTTAAAATCCATTATGACCACCTAATAGACTATCATGAAACTCGCTTAAGAGGTTGAATTTGAGAGAAGAAGTGGCGGGGATTACTACTCGTCCCTTATATCGTAATCGCCCATTATGAAAGGACCATCCGAGCTTAGAATTCGGGTTTGTCTTGAGTTTGTTAATCACCTCCCGCAATTGTTGATCTTGGATAATTTTTGAAGCAATTGTTGCCCAATCCAACAAAGACATGGATTGAAATGAAGTGATTTTCAGCCATGGTAGGTACCCTAGAAAGGGCATCTATAGCTTGGTTTTCTTGGCCTAGTTTATATTGAATCTCAAAGTCATACCTTAGGAGTTTAGTGGGCTATTTTTGGTGCTCCAAAGGCAACCAATCTTTGCTCAAACAAGTATCGAAGGCTCCGCTAATCGGTTTAAATAAAGAAATGTCTCCCCAACAAGTAATGGTGCCATTTCTCGGATAGCAAGCACGATGGGCATTAATTCTCATTCATAGACAGATTTAAGGCTAGCTCTCCCAGTCGAGCTTGGCTGAAAAATGCGATTGATCTACCATGCCGAGATAGGACTACCTTTACACCTATTCCTAAAGTGTTCGTTTCAACCAAGAAGCTCTCACCAAAGTTAGGTAGTTCCAAAATAAAGACTAACTTCATGGCGTTTTTCAACTACTTTATCGCCATGGTTGCTTCCTCGCCCCCAAATAAAACAATCCTTCTTTAAATGCCGAGTAAAAGGGACTACAATCTTGCCATAATCGAGAACAAACCTTTGATAGTATCCCACGAGGCCTAGGAAACCAAAGAGCTCCTTTAAGTTTTTTGGGATGGGCCATTTATCCATGGCGCAAACCTTCTCAAAGTCGACCCTAACTCCTTCCCTCGAAATAATATGACTCGGGTACTGCGGTTGATCCCGAGCAAAGCAACACTTCTTTAGGTTTACAAATAACCGGTGCCCCTGTAGGATGGTTAGAACTTATCTCAAGTGTACTACATGGTTAGACAAAGAAGCGCTATAGACTAATATATCATCAAAAAACACTAGCACATACCTCCGAATATTACCTTTAAAGATCAAATTCATTAGTGCTTAAAGCATGGCTAGGGCATTTGTCAATCCAAATGGCATGACCGAGGAACTCATAGTGTCCCTCATGTGTCATAAATGCGAGTCTTATGGATGTCTTGAGGCTACACCCTTATTTGATGGTATCCTCGATCTAAGGTCGAGTTTTAAAAAAACCCATACTCCATTAAGCTCATCTAACAATTCATCAATGTTAGAGATGGGAAACCTATCGGGAATTATAGCTTTATTCAAAGCCCTATAGTCGATACAAAATCGCCAACTCCCATCTTTCTTCTTCACTAGAAGTACTAGAGTTGAGAAGGGACTAGTACTTGGTCTAATGACCCTCGCCTCCAACATCTCCTCTACTAGCCTCTTAATCTGATTTTTTAGATGTGGAGATAGAGATACGAATGCACATTTATCGGCTATAATTCCCTCCTTGAAGGTAATGGAGTGATCAAATTCCTTAGTGGAAGGTAGTTCGGTTGGGGTGCTAAACAAGTCTTCAAACTCTCCTAACAAAGAACCGATTTTAGGAGCCTTGCAACTATCCCTTGATTCTTCATGTGCCAAGACATGACATAACTCCAACAACATCCTTTCTCCTTCTTGTTGAATAGTCTTGACCATTGATTTTAAGAAACGAAAGCCTTGCTTAAACTCGGGACACCCCGTAAAACCACTCGTTTCCCCCTAACTCAAATGTCATGGTTAGGTGTTTCCAATCATCTTATGTAACCCTCAAAGTTGCGAGCCATTTTACCCCTAAAATAACATCGGTGCTTTTCATTATCAATAACAAGTAATCCTCAACAATGGTAAGCTCTTGTAACCGCAATACTACACCCTTACAAATTCCCTTCCCTTTCATCTATTGGTCATTTCCTACTACAACCCTATAGTTCAACGTACCCGAGATTGGTATGTTTAACTTCTCCACCAAGGATTGAGAGATGAAGTTATAAGTCACCCCATAATCAATCAACACAACAACATCACTACCCATTATCTTACCTCATAGCTTTAAGGTGCGTGGTTCGGAAAGTCCCACCACCGAGTTCAAGGATAGCTCTACACCATCTAACTCGGCTTTGACTAGCTCTTCGATAGCTAGAGCATCTTTCAATCTGTCATTGCCCTCAAGATCTTCACCGACTAATAAGACATTGAGCTTTTTATTTTTGCAATGATACCCAATCTGCCATCTCTCATCACATCTATAACAAATCTTTTTCTCCCTCTTAGCTTAAGCTTTAGTCGCAGATCGACCTCTTAAATCGGGAAGGAGTTGAGGTATGAGAGTGGTCTTTCTAGTTAGGTTAGTATTGGTTTGTCTAGATATGGGTAGCAGGTCGTGTTCTTAAATGGTGATTGTAGAGTGTGTTGATAGAGTGGTTAAATGAATTCGGGTGAGAAGTGTTATTGGGTTTAGAAGGAGCCCATGAAATGGTTTTGGGGTCGAGCTTATAGTGGATTAAAGAGGGCTTTTTAGGCCCAGGTATTGGGCTAGCGATTTGGTCTTTTTTTCAATTCGAGCCGCAACTTGGATGGATTTCTTCGAGCCCGAGAGGTTTAACAAGAAAAGCTCGGCCTTAATGTGTTCATCTAAGCCATTGATGAATACTACGGTCATGGTGTCTTCTCCTAGCTTCACATTAAAGGTCGCCAATATCTCAAAAGTTGCTTGGTATTTTGTTATAGTCCTCGTTGTTTAACGGTAAAGAATCGATGCAATATCGACCCCTCATCCGGCCTCAAGAACCTTTACAACATCCGCGTTTTCAATTCATTCTAGGTGGTAAATGGTCTCTCTCTCTCTTCAAATCTCAAGTAACCGTGCTTCTCCTTCAAAACAAACTCCAGCTACCTTTATTTTGTCCGCTTCGGTTAATCGATTCATGGAGAAGTATTTTTCTATTCGAAAAATCCAAACATCGTGGTCCGTTCCTTTAAACGATGGGACTTTCGGTTTTCATAGAAACTTATCCCTATCCCGGATCCTTTCGACTCTAACGACCACCTCCACGGTAGCGACGATATCCATAATCGACTTCGGAGTCGCTATTACCCCGATCCTAGCACAACTTCCCTCAACTTGATCACTAACTCCTACTCCTTGTTGTTTAGAGAAGAGATAATAAATATCCTCCAAACGCCGAGCAACCGCAATCATGAAAATCTTTAAATCAGCCACATCATCCTTCAATATAGGTATACACTTGATCTCATTCTCAATTTATTCCATTCAAGACTCCATTCGAGTAGCATGCATTACTCAAAAGGATCAATGCTTTAATACCAAAATGATAGAACACCATAACCGGATAGAGAAGAATGGAAAAGGAATGGCAGAGCAAGGTAGAAAATAAAAAGTATGAGAACTGGTGATTCTTTATCGATGTATTTCAACGGAAAAGGTTTCGTTACAATATGCAATAATAAAAGGTAACGACAACAATTCTAGAGGCTACCTCTCTCCTACTCTTAACGAGAGAATATTTTCCATAACAAATTCATGAAGTCCCCCACCCCCGCTTACTCTCTCTCTCTCTCTCTCTCTCTCTCTCTCTCTCTCTCTCTCTCTCTCTCTATATATATATATATATATATATATAGATGCCTATGTGTAATAACCTTAAGCCAAGTCGTCAATTCTAAATAGCCTCGCCAATAGCAGTTGGCATAACAAACTTCCTTCACTTGGTGGTGGTTGGGCCTCTTTTTCCCCTTTTGGTGTAGGCCATGCGCACTGGAGGTTTACTAGCTTAATCTCTCAGCTTGCCTCCGATTTGAGAATTTTTCGAAAGTTTTGAAGCCAATGGAACGTTTGAGCTATCTCTATTTTGAACATACACGAATAACAAAATTGCCTTCGCCAATTGGAAATCTGATGGGACTTACTTGCTTGGAAGTGGGAAACTGTTTATCTCTAAAGGATATCAAATGTTTTGTTGACTTGCAATTGCCTGAGAGGGACGTGGATTTAAAATTTTTATGTCAGTTGACTCTACGTGGCTGTCAGATATCAGAAGTGCCTGATAGTCTTGGTTGTTTATCTTTGCTGGAAGTGTTAGATCGAAGTGGAAATCCTTTTCGGACTATACCTATAAGCATCAGTAAACTCTTTTGAGTTGCTATATCTAGGCTTAAGGAATTGCATGAGGCTTGAATCGTTACCAGAGCTTTTACCACGGCTAGTAAAGTTAGACCCACACTATTGCTCGGTCTTAAGTCGAGTATCAAGCTCATCAACTGTAGTTGAGGGAAACATTTTTGAATTCATTTTCACTGATTGTCAGTCCTTGCATTGGACCTCTCTCCGGGTAATCTTGGCATACTCCTCATTGAAATTTCAACTTTATATCAAAAGGCTATACAATCAGGTTTGATTCTCAAACCTCTATTATACCTTTTTGCGTTCCTCTATGTGTAATCACTGAGGTTAAAAAGATGCCATTTTAATGGTGTTAACAGGTGTCCGATGTTCCAGCAAAGACATGTAGTTTTTGCTTCTTTGGTTCTGCAACTCCGATGTGGTTTAGCCAACAAAGTTGGGGATTTGTAGTAACAACTCAACTACCTTCGCATTCGGCTAATAGTGAGTTCTTGGGTTTCACTCTATGTGCTATTATTCGATTTACAAGAATTAAACTCAGTTTGCAAGTTAAATGCACATACCATTTCCGCAATAAGCATGGTGGTTGCCATGATTTCTTTTGCTATCTCCATGGCTGCTATGATGAGAAGCGTATCCATTCAAAGCACATGTTTGGTTGCTACAAAAGATAATTTTTTTAGTGAATACATTGAAGTATCCATTGAATTCCAACCCGTAGATTTGGACGACAATTTGTTACCACTATCTTGTTGCAAAATTCTAGAGTGTGGGGTCCTTCTACTGTATGCCAATGATGAGACGAGACCCTTTGATTTTATAATGCCACGGTTACAGCACCTCGGTGTTTCATTTTATCATCTTTTTCCGGATCAAGAAAGCTTGGAATCATGGTTCAAAGCCAAGAGGCCGCGTGATGACTGGAATTACAGTGATTGCTTGGAATCGTGGCCAAAAGCTAAGAGGTCGCGTGAAGACAAGCATGGCAGTGAGTAATGTAGTGGTGGAAGTTGAAACATGGAAAGCCTTTGTCCATGGCATTACCGTATATCAAATGTATTAATTTTTTTCCTTTCTTATATAAAATGTATTAATGTTATTTCAGACCAATCCTAGATAAAAAGATGTTCTTGATTAGAACAATATACTTTCAAATAGTTTGAGTATGTTTGGATCTAATTTTCAACTTGAACAAAAGTAAAAAGTAAACCAAATTGGAAAAAGGTAAATTTTAATTTGCCTCTTGAGGTTTTTTAATTTGTCTCAAGAGATTTATGTATTTTTTCAATTTGGTCTAAAAAAAATTTATTTGTTTCAATTAAACTTTGTGTTATTCACTTTAGTTATATTTTGTGTAAATTTTTATTTTATCTTCAAATTTTATGAAATCTATCAATATAACCTAAAATGTAAAAATGAAAAAATCGAAATTGAAAAAAAATAGTCAACGAAATTTTTTTTTCAATAAAACGAAAATGAAAGTATTTTAAAAAAAAAAATCACCACTATCTACCAGCCATTTGATAATACAAGAATAAAATCAAACTAAAATAAATATGATAAAAAAAAAAAAAAAGCTTTTGATAAAAAGTATCATTCACCATTGTTGCTATCTCTTATACACTCACTATTATATCTTATTTATACTTTTTATCTATATTTTTTTAATGAAAATCTTGAACAGAATTCTAAAAAAAAGTTAAAAAAAATAGAAATCTAATGTGAATGGAATGGTAGTTTGAACATAGGACAATTTTAACATCTCTTAGAATGTGATTATTTACATACATCAAAGATGTTATTTGATGTCAATTGGGGGGGGGGGGAGGATAAAGAGAGAGAAAGAGAGAGAGGGAGACGATAGTCGAGAGGGATCAAAATGGTTTCGATTTTGACAAAAAAAAAAAAAAGAGTTAATTTAATTTAAATCTTCATTTTTATTTAACTATGGTATTGGTAAAAGAAAAAACAATATTACTAAGTGATAATAGAATTTGATAGAATTTAAGGATTTCTTGACAAACTAACCCTCTCTAATTTTATCATATTTGTTTTATTAAAAAAAATATTTTTTATTTATATTTTTTAGTGATTTCAATTAGTTTATTATTTTCTTTAGTTTTTAGATGATATTGAGATATTTTATAAAATTTAAGGATGAAACTAAAATTTACACACTTGATGAAAATGGATAGAAGGGGAAAATTATATATATATATATATATATATATATATATATATATATATATATATATATATATATGAGGGCCGATTGGAATAAAAATTAAAAATGTGGGGGTGGATTGAAATAAATAAAATTTTTAGGTAAAACTAAGAAAATTAATAGTAGGGATGATTGATTATATGCATTCTTTTATATTTAGTCTTTTGAATGTGTTTTTTGGTTATATGTGCTTGAATAATATTATTTTGTGACCTTGGGAGAAAGTTAGAGGCAAAAGAGAAAAAGTCGACTAAAATGGATGAAATTTCACATCCTTATAGCTCTCGAACGTAAAAGAGACTCGGTTAAGATTTGAACTAGACATCTTAAGGTTTCCAAGTTGGATTTAAACCCCAAAATCTATTTTGTTTTGGGTTTTCAAAGTTGGTTGCAAAGACTGACCTAGGAATTCGAATCTCGTGATAGTTCAAAACAATGATAAGTATTTGAATCATATGTGGAGTCTTAAACATTATATTGATATTATTCAAAAGCCTATGGAAAGAAGACATTCAGACCTATAACTCATGTAGAGTTGTAGTCCAAAATCAGCCTCTATCCGATTCGACATTGGCTTGAAATTTCTAACACAATCCGATTCTCATCCAATGAGTTCTATTAGAGAGTATGGTCTATAATATAGGATTGTAAGTTTTCATACTTATCTTTTTACGTGTATAAACAACCTTTAAGATTACTCTAAAAGGGTTATACACAAAGAGATACTCACATTTTTCATATAATTTAGGGTTATATACACCACTCAATGTCTAGTTAAATTTATTAATTTGGTTTCATAGATTTCAGCTTTAATTCGCACAAGATTATAAGACACAAATTTTATTTTTAAACTATTCTTAATTTTTTTAACACCTAATTTTTACCTTACTTAATTTTCTTAATCTTGGGAGAAAATACAATAAATAAATAAATAAACAAACAAAAGAAAAAAAAAGTCAATTAAAAAATGGTCGAAAGTTAGTTTTGAGGGTTAGTTAAAAGAAATAGAATGTTTGAGAACCAAAGAAAACTCAATTGAAGATGCAATTGAAAAATTCGAAACCTTAGACCATTAATTAAAAGAAAGTAATGGTAAAGTTGGGAGAAATTTAAAGAAGAGGTTCGATTAATTGTAATTAAAAGATGTCACTAAAATACAAGAAAAACAAAATGGTACCAAAATTAAAAAACGCAAAGAAATTAGGGATCCATATTGATGTTTGCCAAACCTTTATTTTTCTCCCATAAATACCTATCTCCTTCTCATTTTTTTATATATAATATTATTCATCATCCCAACACATAGAAAAAACTTGCACCTACTCTCTCTATTGTAGTTGAACCTCTTCTTTCTCTATACAAGCCGAACCAGCTCCTCTTCTCTTTGGCTAAACACAATGCCTCCTTCTCCATACAAGCATGCCAACCAGTCTTCCTCTATTGTAGCCAAACCAATTCCTTGTCTATTATAACCAAGCATAACTTTTATTCCTCTATTATAGCTGAACCAACTCCTCTTCTATTTTAGTCGGACCTTTTCCTCCTCCATACTAGCCTAACACAACTCCTTCTCCTCTTAGTTGAACACAACTCCTTCACATTTTTGCCAAATGCAACTCCTCTTTTTAGCTGAACTAGCTCCACCTCTTTTTGGTCGAACATAACTCCTTTCTTTTTTAGCCAAACCAACTTCACCTTTTTACGAGCTAAAATCATCAGCTATTCCTTTTGGTTGAACACACCATCTCCTCCTCCACACAAGCAAGACAAAAAACTAGGTTTCTTCCGCCAAGAGACACCATTATATTCTCCTCCATCTTTGGGCCAAAAACTTGCTACTACTTCAGCCACCATTCATGACAAAACACACGGAAAAACCAAACCACCCTTTGAAGTGGATAGTAGCATATGGATGAAAGAAAGGGTTTTAAACAAAGAAAAAACTCTTAAAAAAAAAACTATTTTAGTGTGCTTATGTTTCTTGGTTTGAACTATATTTGGTTGTATTTCTTGTTTCTTAGATTGTTGCCTTGGTTTAGGAAAATTAAATTGATAAGTTGCAATAATGACAATGGCATGAGAATGGGGAATGGAGATTGTGTGAACATGGATTAATGTTAGAACACTTTTCTTCCCCTTGATAACCACGAAGCTGAATTTATGGACATATTTGCTATTCATATTATGGATTAGAAGATTGAATAGAAATTAAGCTCTTGGACTTAAGAAAAAATAAGGGTAGTTCCTTCCTCTTTCTCGACCGATTAAATAATCAATTTTCATCAAGATCAAATGAATTGAAACCGACTCGAGATAAGGGTCTTTTCTATTTTTGACATCATTTAGGTAATTTTTGAAACCATATGGATCGTTAAATATTAAATAATGAAAATATTATGTCACAGTATGAATGAACTATGAAATGTTTGATTTAGTTATGTCTAAGATTGAAGTATGATTAGATACATTGTTGTATATCAAACCGGAAAGGATCGGAGACCTTGAGTATTTTGAGGTGAAATAGGATTGGTGATCAATGCTTTATGATGAAGCCGAGAGGATTGAGCTTAGGTTTTAATTTCAATGGTGTATCCAAGATAAATATTAATGTCGGTGTTTGTACTTGAATGTGTTTGATTAAAAATCTTGAATGATGTATCAAATACATGATACTCATGTCTAATACATGATTGCTTGATTTTTTATGTGCTTGAAAAGAAGCTATTAGTGGCTTCTACCTATATAGTTGAAGTCGTCAATCACTTTTAAACTAGTTTACCTATTTTTTATTTAAGTGAAATGAAATTGTTGGTGGTTTTTTATCTATATGGTCACGCCATCGTTGGCTACCAAACCATTTTACTTGTTTTATGTGCAAGTAAAATGAAGCCATCAATAGCTTTTCACTTCGTGGACAAATTTATCGATGGCTTCTCAAATGATTCGAGTTAAAGTCCCTAGTGACTTCTTAAATGTTATGGGTGAAGTCATCGGTGGCTTCTCACTTTTATGAACAAATTCATCGATGGCTTCCCAAATGATCCAATTTGAAGTCATTAATGACTTTTTTAATTTTATGCATGAAGTCATCGTTGACTTCCTACTTGTGTGGACGAAATCGTAAGTGGCTTCCTAAATGATTAATTTGAAATCGTTTATGACTTTCCGAATATTATGAATGAAGCCATCGAGGCTTTTTACTTATATGAATAAAGTCATATGTGGCATTCTAAATTATGTGAATTAACATCGTCGGTGACTTCTTTAATTTTATGGATGATGTTGTTGGTGGCTTCCCACTTATATGTATAAAGTCATCAATGGCTTTCCAAATGATGCGATTTAAAGTCACTAGTGATTTTTTAAATATTATGAATGAAGCCATTGGTAGCTTTTTATTTATGTGAACATAACTGCTAGTGGCTTTCAAATATTTTTAAATGACTTATTATTACATGAATTGAAGCTATCGGTGGCTTCTCACTTATGTAATGAATTCATCGACCGCTTCCTAAACTTATGAATCAAAGTTGTTGGTGACTTTTCACTTATGTGAGTGAAGTTATTGACGACTTTTTGTTCATGTCAATATAAGCTCCCAATCTTTAGAAACTCATCTATTTATCGATATAGGTTTATATTCACTAAAGATTAGTCTGAAATTCTAATCTCTACCCACCTTTTCCATTTAGAGTATAGGTATTGACTTTTGACCAGCTCGAATCAAAATTAATCCACCATTCCTACCCTAAAAAATAAATTCACTCAAACA